ACCTCGTTGTCGCAACTTGGTCTTGTTGTCAGGGCGACTTGGTAGAACGCACCTAGTCCGAAGTCGTCTGACCTAGTAGTCGTCATGATTCCCAGCATCAGACAGTGGACTTGGTACATTCTCAAAAGGGAATTATGACAACTAATATGGCAGACGAATTCGGACTAGGTGCGTTCTATTAAGTCGCCCTGACAACAAGACCAAGTAGTGACAACGAGGTCAACCCACCTTAATAACTCTAAAGGAGACTGCGACCATACCAGAGGCCACAACATCTTTGTCTTCATATCTTCGACTGGAACGAAAATGTATAAGCAAAACATTCTATATCTAGCTATTATATGTGATGTGCCAATTTCGTTTGAAGACATGAAGGACTTAAAGTTGACTTGTCCCACAATCATATGACGTTTCCGTTGAATTCCACAGCCTTGCTCTCCCAAAAAGTGTTTTCACCCAGGCACCAGTGGACTGAAGTTTCGACCTCGTAACGGTCTTCTCAACAACCCCAGCGGGAGTCGAACTGTGACAGTGCAGCATGTGAGCCCGACACGTTAACCACTCGGCCACATTGCCACCACAAGAAATATGGTGAATACATCTCATATAATAGATTTGCTGGTAGTTTCGAGACTCTACTTATATGTGAAAAATATGTCTATCTATGCCTAGACATTTTCGTTTTTTAGTATTTATAAGAAGTAAGATAAGGCCGACAAGACTTGTTGACCTGATGCTAATTTACGACTTTTATGAAGATGGGTTCCAGCTCTGAGTGATGGATCCGATGGTGGATCTAAGCGGAGGTGCAGAGTAGTAGAATCGAGTATTGGAGCTGAGTGGAGGAGTAGAGTGCTGAAGTCGAGTGGTGTATTCGAGTATACACTAAAGCCCGCGATTTCTGTTCGTCCTCGAGACGCCAAAGTAAAAGTTTGGCTTGGCGACGCCCATGAAGGGGCTGGGTATAAATTGAACGTGAAACGGGCACCAAAACAAGTGGCACAGCAAAAACGGCCAGACATTCGGCCTAGCAACAGGGACGAACCGACAGGTCTGTTTTATAAATACTCTGCGAGGCCCGGTGTCGACGTGTCGACTGGGCCAATCACACAAGAAGAGGCACGACAAGTTATCCTTTCTTCAAAAGCGTCGAAAAATTCCCATCCGTCGTCTGACCCACTCATTGCATACACTCTGGCAGACTCGTGGGTCGGTGCGAGCATTCGAACAATCTATGCCAAATAGATCCCTCCGCTTGGGCTTTGAGATTGGGCCCGCCAATTGGTTCAACGACCGGAATGTGCCCCTATGTCTGTAGCAAGCGCATACGCACAGGACGTCAGTCCTACAGCAAATGCGACTTGGCTCGACCTCAATTTCGGGGCCAAGTCGTAGTTGCCGTGGCGGTTCGAGTAATGGGCCTGACGACGTTGCACTTACGTCTTCGTTCTGCACAAACCTCCTACTCTTACATACCATATGGGGAAGGAGGGATAAAAATAATGACAACCTGATGTTATCTACCATGTCCTCTTTCCAGATGGAAACGGACGAAGAGAAGAGATTCACATACTCGGTGCGAGTCTGCGCGAAGTTAGCGCACAAGTCAAAGATGACTGACGAGGCACAGTTGAAGTTGAGAGCAGGTTCAACAAAACGGTGTTATCCTTTGCACAATGACCCACAAAAGGGGTTCAAATCTGCCACGATTATCATTGTGCCATAAGCACCAAAAGTCAACCCAGACTGCAGAATGAGTCACTCTTCTCTATAGGCTCTAATAGCGTCTGTCTAAAAAGGATGTGGTCACCCGATTGTGGTTAAACACAATAACGAAAAATACGGATACCGGAAGCAAACGATTTGTCTCATAAATGGGGACGAAATGTAGGACATAACTCAACACCACAGGTAGTGGGTTAGTAGATATTTTCGATTACCAGAGCGCAAAATATGATCTCCTGCTATAACAAGTGCATCAAACAGGATCAGACTTCATCATCATCATCTTTATTCGGCCCAGAAAATCAGCAATATTGAAGGGGTGAACCTCAGCCATAAAAGAAGATAGATTGACAAAATAAATCGGCAGTAATTAGTTTTGCAACAAGGGGAGTACTTGTCCTAGCTCCTAGCCTGTTTATATTCACTGCAAACAAGAGACCATGTGTAAATTGGTATCATTATTTAAAATGAAATGTATATCTGGCATTTGTGCTGGAGTTCTTTGTCATATCTCAGTCGCTTGATCGTTCTCACAGTATAGCACAAGAAAGCATGTGGACAGAATAACTTTTATCCAACAGGTTTGGATTAATCACTTTGGGAAAGGAAGCAATGCAGAATGCAAGTATCTAAAATAAGGTATGAAAACCAAGATGGCGTGGTCTTTTGTGTGGTCGCAGTCTCCTTTCGTTGCATAGAGGTTGTTTGACCTTGTTTTCACAACTTGGTCTGATTGGTAGGAGCACACCAAGTTCGAAGTTCATTGTATGCATCATCATTTCCAGAGTAGGACCGTGGACGTGGTGCATTCACAGACGTTTCGCCGGCATCGTC